GAGCATCACTCTATGATTTGCAATCTCTGTATTTCCCATTATGCCTCCTCCACTGAACCCTACCCTGAGCTGAGGTGCTGAATTAAATGGCTCCTTGATCCAACTTGGTAGTGCTATTCTTAGACAGTATTTTTGTCAACACTTCAGGATATTACTTCATACTTGATTTGGATTCTCCCACCAATGTGTTTATGAAGAAAGAGGACAAAAAATATATTTAGGGACCACTTCTTGACAACAGTTTTACGTAAAAAATGCACTTAAATCAGCCACTTTTATATACAAGAACAGGAAGTCTGGTATGGAACGCCTGAACAAATACTCAGGTTTTCTGCAATTAATTTTGTAGCCACTGAGAATACTCCCAGCTTCTAATCTCCCCTCAAACCAGTACAATGCTGTATGCTTTTCAGTGCTTCTTAAAAGAACAAGTGGTTCTTTAAGATACTTTCCCAATGAGGCATTAAGAAAATCAATTTAAAGTACTGAAGTAACAATTACTGCTGCACATCATGAGCTGCTTAGCACTAACAAGTTCTCAAGGCTTAGCTAAATTTAATCCTTTACTAAGGGCTAATGCAAAACAGTATTTCAGAAACTCTTCCAAAAAGGGTAAGAAGTTATTTCTCTTGTTTCTGAAGGGATCACCCAGAAGAGATTTTTAGGATTAGTGGATTAGTCCTTCTCCTTTGGGATCCTGGTGACATCAGCCAGACAGCCTGTGTAATCACTTGCCTGAAGACAGGATCTGATACCTCAAGACATTCTATTAAAAAGGAAAACATAACTGAGTTCATTTTATCCTACAACTACAGATCCTGACTCCTGTGGTAGCTAAGCTGCACATTTTGTGACAAGTACAGTAACTGTACTTTACCAGGAATTCCTAATAACTGATCATAAGAAATATTCAAGTCCTTTCCCTGAAAACACATACTTATTTTATTCGTTTTTCTTTTTATTTTTTGAAATTAAGACAAAATGAGCAATCTTGGGGTCTGTCTGTACCATCTGCAATGGGATAATAAAACATTCAATGAACTCCATTCTCCAATATTACAAAGTGAACTTGTTGCTTTGTACTGGCCTCTACCTGATTAGATGCAAACATCAGAGAAATATCATCACCTTCAGTGGTCCCCAGCCTCCTGTATTTAGTTACCACAGACACTATTAGAAGATCATCCTCAGACTGTTTCAGTTCTACCCTTACTGGGTTTTTTAATCTTTGCCAGTATGTAGATATTGGATATAATGGAGCTAACCAGAAAGTTTTTCTCTCTGAAGGTGAAATGGCAACATAAACATATGACAAGGACTAGTGGAATTCCTCCAGCAATTTGCAATTGCCCCCCATGTAGCTACTGCAAGGTCATTAAAGGCCATATCCTGCAGAGAGAGAGTAAAAAACCTGCCAAGTTTCTGGTATAATACTAGAAGAGAACCACAAGAAAAGTGGATAGGAAGCTATGTGAAAGGTATAGTTTTTGGATCATGTACATGTATTACACAGCTGGAAACCTTAAACTAGCAAGTAGAGCAGATGTGGACTTCCAGGTTTGTTCTGGACACAGTGCTGCTGCTTTTGTGAGCTACTGCACCAGGGCTGGGAAGCCAGGCCAGGAAGCCCCAGCCAAAAGGGCAAACTGCCCCTTGTAAGCCCATCCCAGCTCCTGCAGAACGAGCTCAGATGTGCCAGGGTCACAGACTGGGCTGCTCCCACAGCCAGAGAGCACAGACCTACCCTGGGACCCCCAGCATGAGAGCTGCACATGTATGTATGGACATGTATGTATGCACATGTATGTATGCACAGGAATCTCTGATTCCTGTACAGAAACCCTGCATTGCTCTAGGGATCATACTGGGATTACTTCACATCAATATATGAAATAAACCTCTGCTGTTCTCTTCCAAACAGGACTGCTTCACTTCTAACACAAACCATGAGTAAGAAAATCTCACTCCTCAGTGGCAGTGAAAACAGTGACTTGAAAGCAGTCAGGACAAATCCCAGTCCCAGGATGGCACATGAGCAGCTCCAGGAGCCCACGATTCTGGCACTGATTCAAACCTCTAACATGTGATACCCACCACCCATAACCCAGAACATCCAGGGGTGCACTGCCTTGGTTTTAAAGTTGTGAAACCAAGCCCTATCCTGAGAGGCCTGGATTTTAAAGTGAATTCCTTAAGTGGAGAGAAGGGTGAGAAGAGGGCGGGGAGGAGGAAAGAGGCAGAGGTTGTCCCACTTCATCTCCTTTACCCTGGGAAAATGAAAGCAGTACAGCTGTTTCTCAGAAGCCTGGAAAAGCTGGTGGTTATCAACAGAAATCTAACTCACATTACAGAGTGGGCAGATCACATTTACTCCCAGCTGAAAACTAACTCACAGACAATGTTTTAAATAGCCTTCATTTCTGTTAACAAAAGATGCCCAAACAACAAGAACACCCAACAGCAGAGCACTGGAACATTTGTTACATGATATGCCTCTCACCTCAGTGCAATAGTAATCTGCTGTGTCCATCAGACAGAGATCTAATTACCTACACAAAAGGCAGCATTTGAAACATGGTGATTTTTGTTAAATCAAAGGAGTAAGAGGCTGGACAACAAGAAATTGAGAGAGAAACCAGATGAAAAATAAAACCAGACAAACAGGTTCTGCATTAACTTGTGACCTACACTAAACAGGTACCTGAGTGCAAAATTAATCAGCTTTTACTCTAAGAATATTTACCTAATTTCCACTTTGCAGCCACAATCAGCTACATAAAACCACAGTATGATGCACTAACATTAAGGCTGTGGATGCTGGCCACGGAGTTTCAGCTAGAGACTGAAACCAAAGAACACTGATACAAAGACATTACAGTTATCATCACAGAAAACACATGTATATCACAAGCCTGACAAGTGCACATGGACAAACACTTGAAACATCTCCTTCACCTGTTCCCTCATATTTGTTTTTCCTTATTTCAAACCTGCACAGTTGCAAACCCTCCCTGTGACAGAAAGAAAAGCCCCAGGTTTTTTACAATCAAGGACTTATAAAATAACATCTTGCAACCTTTAAATGCTTCTCCTTTTGACCTTTGTGCTTTAAAGTGCACCATGCTAGGAAAAAAAGAAGTGTGACCCTATGTTTCAAACTCTCTGAAAAGAGCAGGGTTGCAATTTTGCAAGGGCTGAGATGGAGCAGGTGGCTGCCTGGATTGGGTGGTTTGGTAGCTCAGGGGTTTGGCACAGGAGCAAATAACCCTATCACTCAGCAGCCACTCTGGGAAACAGTGCTGATGTGGTTTTCTCCTGATCATTTCTGCCCAAAAGACAACTCAAAGAAGCCAGGCAAATCTTTCTTTTCATTTTATATGAACTGTGCACCAGGAAAATTTAAAGGCCACTCTCAATGGACAAAAAGTGTTAAGGGCTTCAGAACAAACTGCACAGGTGGACATATTAAATATCACCTTCTCTTTCTGACAAAAACCAAAATAACAAACCCACACAAATATGCTTCAGTTGCCAATGCTATTTAACATGCCACCTTTTAGTCCAATTTATCCTTATTAACAATGAGCTGGACAAAGAATTACTCAAAATATCAACTCTGCCCATACCTTTTATCCCTGAGTAATGATTCAGAGAAGTCTGAACCAGTTAGTGTTAAAACATTCTCCTTACCTAAATTAAAGACAACAAACTCTTGAACAACATTCCTGAAAACATGAGTATTGATAATTTTAGGATAAATTACACATTCAAACCATAAACAAACGATAAATATTTCTGATACCTAGAAACACATTTACACAGTTCTGTGAACTCATTTATTATTTAGTTTCATTGAAAAGAACTGCATATTAAATCAGCAATACAGTAACTCTGTTTCTTCTCTGTATGTGTGACCTTGGAAGAAAGCAACAATCAACAGGGCTGTGTTAATGGCAGGACTGGATGGTCTTAGAGGTATTTTTCAGCCCATGAGTCCATGATTAACTGCAGCTGACAGAAAACCATAACATAAGTTCTGTGTTTAAGGTGTGCAAAACCAGGACCTTTCAACAATCCAAAGCATTCATTAACATTCACCATTGTTATACAACACCATTCTGAATTATTCACTGAGAAACTTAATATACATAGAAGTATCCCTGCTATGTAGGGTTTTTCCTCTGAGATAAAGTTATTGCAAACCACATTCCTTTAAATGGAGTCTAGCAATAAAAGCTAAATAAAGGGGGAAAAGGGTTCCCAGCAGCATTCTTATTTACAATCTGGTAAGGCAAATTAAAAAAAGTTTAAACATTACTGCCAATGCTTAAAAGAAGTAAAAAACCAAAGAGCTTGACCACAAAATTAATGACACCAAATACAAGATCTAGATATTTTCAATTAAAATAAGTCACTGGGTTATAGCAAGCAAAACCAGCTCTTTTCAGATCACAAACAGGCATAGGGACTACACTCCAGTTGCCAAAATCTGATGGTAGAGGCCAGATGATCAGCCAGCTGACTGCTGAGTACATTTTTCTTTTAATTCAGAACCAGAAATAGAGAAAAATGAAAGTTTCTTTTCTGAAACATCTGCTTATTAAGAAGCCAGAATACCTCATTCTCCAGGAGTTAAAGATCACCTCTACCTCAGTTTCCTTGCTCAGGTGCACATGGTGACCAAGTCTTGGCTACAAGTCTAGAGGAAGTTTCTGCTTCATACATCACATACCTCCACATGCCCTGATTTGCTCTGGAGACTTACTTTACTGATATGGAAACTGAATTTATGGAGTATTCCTATCCTGGGGAAGAAACATGTACCAGAACTAGACTGCCTCTGTTCTTTTTTTGCAACAAAGAGAGGCACAGAAAATTACTCCCCCCGTTTGTGAGGGACCTACTAAATGCCTGAAGATGAGCATACAAACACTGAAACTCCTGTATGATTAACAAATCTCACAAAACACAGAAAACACTAAAAAAAAAAAAAATACTACCTTCTTTTCAGTGGTGCTTGAAGTCTTTGATACTAACGCTGTTTCAACAAGACCCTGCTCAAGTAAGGAGTCATATTTTATGCTTCTTTTTCTGCTTCTCCTCTCCTTGTTTGCTGGCTTCTGTTCGTTTTCCTCCGACTGAGATACATCTGCACCATTGTCTCCACAAATGGAGGACTCAAAAAGGGGCTTCCCATTCATGTAGGTTTTAGTGATTTTCAGCTTTATTTCTGGAGAGCCATTCTTGATAGGAGTAGTGTTGGGGGGTGTTCCAACTCCCTTGATTTCCTGAGGTTCAAAGCGCAGCTTGGCATCCTGGGCCCCGGACTCGCCATTAAACACCCGAGAGGTCAGATCTTTCAATTTATCAGCTGGAATAAATGGAAGAGTCTCATGGCCATTATATTTTTGCATGACACCTTCCTGTAGAGTGGCAGAAAGTTGTGCTTTGCCCAAGTAGACAGAACATTCACGATTCACTTCACAATTCTGAGGTTTCCCATTGGTATTTCCAAGGATTTCTGGTACCTGCTTCATTTTGATGCAGTTAATTTTTTGAGCTAACAGTTGAGAACTTCTTTTGATGCTAAAGTCCATTCAGCCCAGATGTTTCCAGTCTTACACTGCTATATTAAGACAAAAAGACAAAAATATTTTTAACAAGAAATGTCAAAAGCTAATAAGTATTCAGATAGACATCAGCACTAATATAAAACTCAACATACTTCATTAGAGTTTTACTAACAAAAGCTTTGTTTACAGTCTTCAGAGGCAAAATGCCTCAGTATCTGTTAATATGCATTACAAAAGAATTCCAAGAAAAACAGATCTATGAATCATCAATTTTATTAAATCGAAAGTGGAAAGCAAAATCACAGCTTTCATTTTAACCATTTGTTAACCATCTACAGCACGAGTGTTGCTTACAATAGCTACACAAAGGTACTGCACTATATCAAACAAGTAAGAGGTTAGACCTAAGATAATATCATTATTAACAACATAAACCAGATGAGTTTATCTCCAAGAGGTTGTGCCAGCACAGAAACCACCCAGGCTGTGTTCCTGTAGAACCTACACTATGGACAGCAGCATCACAAGCTTCCCTTCCTCACTCTCCGAACTTCAACCATCCATCAAAACACACCCCCTGCAGAAACACCACAGCTCAGACAGTCTCCAGACATTTCTCAAGGCATTCTGGCTGTAAGAATGAATAAAGAGTGAGCATTTTGGGCCAGGAACACCAGCCCACTGGGAAACAGCTAATCCTTCAGGCCAGTGACCATACTGGACACAATTTAAATGATCAAAGCAACTCGTGGAATTTTAGATTTTTCATGGCAACAATATCATCTACTATCATCCACTTTTCATACAGAAATTTGCAAACATGCAACAAGCTAAAACTGCACTATTTTCTGCCTTAAACAGGTTCTCCAAGGGTTCTAAAAGCTAACCCTGCCTGTTTCAACATTACACCACTGTAGCAAACAAATTAGTCTGGCAGAATGACTCCTTTGTGCTCCTAAAGATGATGATTTCAATTTTTAAAATTCACATGCATAGATTCTTCATATTACTGAGTCCAGTATATACACAATATAGAAAAATACACCATCATAAATATTATGAAAGCTCAGCACAATAATCATCACATCCATGCTCAAGGTAACCAATTTCATATATGATTAAGTCCAAGGACTGTCACACCGAATCAAAATTTCATCAAATCTTGTCTCACGTGCTTACAAAAAAGTGCAGCAAAACCCATGATGAATAACTATTGAATTGTCAGTTGCTATGGGAGAAATCACTTCTGAATCTCACCTTGTTTATTAATGCACACAGCTATAATGCTTACAACTGGCATATTCCTCCAACTTGCATTTTTGATAGCTCTACATCAGGAGTAGCATTGTAAACATGTTCATAACTGAGCACTGCTGCAGCCTGCCAAAGCTTCTTAAGGATGTCAAGCTTGAATTCAAAGCAGCTGACGAACATGAAACCTTTTCATTTACAAAGATGCAGAAAAAAAAATTAAAAATCATAACTCCGTCTCTCCTTAGCAAGTAGTCCCATCTCCCTAACATGCTGCTCTAAAATATCTACAAGATAAAAGGGTGTCTTTCCACACAAGCTATATAGACTCATTTGAGAGATGAAAACCCTTCTCCCTCCAGGCACAAACAGCAGCCTAAAAATCTGGCATTAAACAAGGCAAGGGCAGTGTACCTGAACTCCAAGTGAATCTGCAAGAGAAAAAATTCTAATTTTTCTTTAGCCAGATGAAATCAGAATTACCAATAAAATCTCTGATAAAATGAGTAGAAAAGCAGCCAACTATATTAATTCTTCTTAAGAGGAATCAGAGATAAAAGGAAACTCAAAACTCAATCAGAAGAGAATAAATTACTAAACCTAAAGGGAACTCATGTCCTTTCACAGTATATTCTCTGAAAACATGGACATGAGACAAACTCTCAACCCAATTAATAACATGACAGTGTTTCAAGCTGTGAATCAGCAGATTTAACTGAAATCACATTTCTCTTAAGAAACAACTAGTGACAAATTCTATCAACCTCTGGGCAAAGGCAAACCTGCTGGGAAGCACATCACACAGTTACAGGGAGCAAAATTCCTTAGAAAAACCGCCAAAACCAAGAACAAAACAAGCAAACCAGCGGTCTGTTGTTAAATCCGTACTTCCTCGCAGGGATCCCTAACGGAGCAAAGCCGAGAGGCGATTTGGGCATCCAAGTTCCGAATTCCCTGCGGCCGCTGCGCCCTCCAGTGGGCGCCGGGCTCGGCGCGGCTCTTCCCGGCCCAGGAGCAGATTTAGGATGGATCCATAAACTGCTGACCAGGCCATGGATGGATTTCTGCATCGGGCCAGCTGTACCTTCTAATCCACACCGTGCTGCTGAATTATAAATCTTACTCTCATCACATACTTCTTGAAGCTACAAAGCCATCAAGCTTGAGGCACGCCTCCAAAAAAGCAGTAAATAATCCAGTGAGACTGTGTTAGTGGTGCACTCCATCTCAGGACACTGATGAATTAGAATGGGTATCTTAAGAATATCAAAACATAAAAATTGCCATAGTCACAGAATAACTTAGGCTGGAAGGGATTTCCTTGGATCATCTATTCCGACCTCTTGCTTAAGCCAGATCAAACTTCTCAAGGCCTGGTCTGAACAATGACCCACTGATAATCAACTTAAAAACTATGGCTTAAAAAAATCAAATTATTGTCTTTCTAGCTAATAAATCTAACAGTATGCACTCCATATTACAAAAACAAAGCAAACCGACCAACAAAAAAAACAAACCAAACAAAAACAACAACAAAAAACAGAATAAGAAACCAAAACAAAAAGACCAATAAATGAAAGAGCCTGAACTTTAAGCAGTTACCTTGATTTGCTCAATCCATCTGAAGATACACAGATTTCAAGAACTTCAGTGAGTGAAGGTTCAATTAATTACTCTCACTAATACAGGTCACTGAAAACAGCTGAAAGCACTGAAAAAGGCTCCTCAGATCACTGGAGCCAAGAGACAACAAATCCAGGTGTAATACTGGTAAAAGGAGAAAGTTAATGTACCCACAACAATCAAAAATGGGAAAATGAAGACAAAGGCAGTAATTTGAAACTGTAAGATATCAGAATCAGGAGATACAGATTATAAAACATGGGAAATAGACCATGTTTGTACAAAGATTTAATGGAACCAAATGAGTAGAGGCTTAAAGTAAGAGGCAGAATAATGGGCTAAGATAACAGATGTGAGTACCTAACAGAAAATATAATCCCATGGGGAGATGAGACATGTAGACAGCAATTTGCAGGTTAGTCACCATCTCTAGGACAACCAGTGGGATGGAAATCAGTGATACACATCTCACTCCTTGCAAAAAATAAGCTACATTTTTGGGTAAAAGAAAGAAAATCTACACACGGGAATAACAAAGGGTTTCAGGAAAGAAGATCAAAATTGAAGCCAGTTATATTTTGCATCACCTTTACTATACAAAACTTCATGGTTTCTTCGCTATAAGAAAAAGAAGGACCAGGCCCTTTGCGAGAGGAGGGGACAGAGCAGGAAAGAAGGGGCAAGAAGAAAATAACCACCAACCAAGCAGTGCTGCTGTGAGTCTGGAATTAATGCAAGGAGATCTAGAAGACAAGACATGAAGGAATTAAATAAGATACATCATGGACAAGATCTGGTTGATTCAAGTTGTAGAATAAGGTCCTGAAGCAGCTGAGCATACAATTAGATTTGGAGGTAAAATCAAGTGCACTCATGCTGGACCACAGTATCACACAGGAGCAAAAGCAATCCCTTATCTTTTTCTAGATGACTCCGTATCTATTGAAAAGGAAAGTGGGGGGAGGGCAGGGAAAGGAAGGGGACAAAAGCATCACACACTAGCAGCAGCTAATGAGCTTAAGCCAGTATCGTCCCATACTGAATGTCTGGTGACCCAACAAGTACCATTTTCACTAACAAAGGGGAAAAAAAACATTATAACCAGGAGTCTGCTGAATAAACATGATATTTTGGCTTGTGAACAAATAGCTTTCAGTATGGAAGATTTCTTATCAGATCAAGGTCTCTAGAATTTTTAATCATACAATGACAACTGGACAATCCTTGCAGTGGCTTTGTAAACATTTTCATACTTAAAAACCAGGTTCTATATAAGGCAAACTATCTTGCAGACATTTTAAATCATGCATTAATTACTTGAAAGTTCATCATCTGACAGGAGTCATGAGTCAAATGCAGTTAGCGTGCATGTCAGATTCCTCCTTCACTAGCCAAGCCACTATCATTTATGTGATATTTATTAGCCATTTCTTCCACATCTGCTGTAATTTCAGAGATGCTTTTCTGGTGTGTCAGAAAGAATGGAGTACTCCATTCCTTTCAATTCTGCCAAAGGGAGGGACCTGAGTAAGTAACCACCAACAAGCATCTCTATTAAATATAACTTTTATTTTGTCTAAGGGTTTTCTTACTCTGGTGAATTACTTGGGGCTGGCACAGGAAGGTGGGGGAAAGAAGGGGAGGATGACAAATTTCAATACAAATTCACAGTAAGAGAACTTTTTCACAAAAGCTATTTTTATAACCTACAAATCAGGCTTTCAGCTGGCACTAAAGAGCTAATAGATGGCTAATGCTTTTTTGTGTTAATATTGCTTTCTGGTAAGTGTTCTCAATTGTCTCATCAATTTTAAGACAAAAGGTTATTCCTATTTTCAGATCAGAATGAGAGAAAATACTTAACAAGATTAAGAAGGTTACAACACTTTTTTTTGCTAATACATTTGAAATCTTGAGTATGCTTACTCATATTATCTTGTATAAAACCCCTAAAATATCAAATAGGGTATTAATAATATCAAATAGATGAGTATTTACTATTGCGTAGTACACTGTAATTGTTCTTCACTGCATTAAAACAATGAAAATTGTACTTCACTGCATTAAAACAATGAAAAATTACTACAGGATCTAAACATAATTTTATTTTAGAAGAAAACACAACTAAAAATTGCATTGCAAGATTGGCCAAAAGTTGTCACAAACCAGTTCTAGCCAG